AATATATAACTGTTCTCCTTCTGAAAAAAAACCCCAAACTATTGAATGATTTCTTATTTACAGTGGTGTAATCAAGGGCAAACTTTATTCCAAAGGAAAACATTGCTAAGTAGATGTGCTTGTGCTAAAATTGGAAATTGATATTCTGACTCAACTGAAAGCCTAAACCCTTTCCAATTAAGACTTTATTTCCCCTCAGTAAAAGTTTTCATGGAAGCACTTAAGGACAAAAATATTATTATAAGCTTGTTCGCATTGTTAATATTTTCAAGTGTTAAAGGCAAAAGCCTTTCTAGAGCAATGGCAGACTGAATTCCACTGCATGTATTTTAAGATGGGGGTTTTTAGGACTACCAGGGAAATTCTTAATATTTGGAGATTATTAAAGTTTGTCTTATTTACCTTCATTCAGACAAACTATGTGAGAATTCTCTTCCCTTATGGCTTTTGTTCTTTTTCCATCTGTGTCCTTTTTTATTTCACCAACACATTTGTCACTCTGCTTCTGTCATCTTCTGTCTTTCAACACGACACTAGCTGTCTAAACACTCTCAGCTTCACTAAGAATGAAATCAAGAAATTTCACTCCTCGTTCCTCTCCTGAAAAAAAAATCCTGAAACTATACTGCTGGGAGACGATATCCACTTTTGCTCCCATTATCACCTCTGCAGCATACTTTCAGGGAATTCATGAACCTGTGCATAGCTGAGAAAGCAACACAGAAACAGAACATACTCGGGGAAGGCGGGGGGGAGCAGGGCAGAGATGGCAAGGTTCTTTTCTTTTCCTTTTTCTTTTCTTTTCATAAGCTGCAGGACCAGTTCCAACTACTCTTGTGGATCTTCTAAGACCGCTCATTCATTTACATAATACACTATCTTCATTGCAGGCATATATACAGAGCTCATACACAAATGGGAAAAAAAAAGATGAAAGAGTCATAGGGTTCTTCCTTCCAGAAGCTTACCTAAATCTCTTTTTAAAAGCTTTTAACTGGGTTTCATTCCCAGTGTGTCCCTTTACATCTAAAAGTGATTAAACAAGATTTACAGACAAATTATATTATTTCCTATTTGTGAAATGCAATACTGTTACAATGAATGATTCCACAAATATCACTTTTTGATCTTTAATTCCCTAAGAAAACTAACTCCAGAATTTAAAGTGCCCTGCTTCAGCCAAGAACCTATTCTCCACATACACTACTAGATTTCACAAGTAAATTTATCATTTTGGAGTTGGGGAACAGTGCTTACTATGGTAGATTATACAAGAATTACAAGAAAAAAGAAAGGAACTCAAGAATGAAACAAGGGAAAATTCAATTTAGTTCTCAAAACATTCTCTGGAATGTGCTCCTCTTTTTCCTCAAAGAGAGAAATAAATTATTTCAAAATAACTCTGAACACAGTGACGATACACACCACTCCATACGTGTGTGGGTGTGTGTTCTGTGAAGACAGCTGAAAAGTGAGCATCCTTCCTATCGGAGATAACACAGTGTAATACTAATTGTCTTTGCACTGAGTAGTGGGAGGAGAGGTATGCAAATCCTTTTCTTTTGTTTCAGCAGGGAAAAAGGATTTTCCAGAGATCACTGATACGTAACACAAAAATCAAGCAGGCTGGATTGTGGCCATGTATGTGTGACAGCCTCACATATTGGCATACACAGGCATTCATACCTATCACATACAGAAAGTTTGCACATACATTACAGTTTTCACACCTCCATAGTATACCACTCATGTTCTAGATAGTCATGCAAAAATACCACTGACGTTCATGTAATAAATCCTTCTAGCAAGGAACAGAAGACAAGTATCTAATATACGTATTAGAAAAACTGCATTGTGTTAGAACCTCAACATGACGCTACAGAATGATGAAAGGTTAACTGTGTTCATCTGCATTTTATGCATTGCTTTCCATGGAGGTCCAAAAATAAAATGCCTGTACTGCAGCCCCATTACATAAGCACTATATATATATAGCATATGAGTATGAGTTCCTGTTCTGTTTCAGAGCAGTCAGTATTGGTATAAGCACTTTCAGGAAAAAAGAGGTTTAGTAGAACTTTGTTTTATCCTGAATAAGAACACTGCCTAGTAATGACTGTGTTGTAGAAATGTCAAGGCTGAAATTAGCAGTGGGTGGAGATCTCTTTAAGGGGAATTAAGTAAGTGGATAATGGAAGCGAAATACTCTTACTGTGGCAAAAAAAATATAAAAAATTCCTTGAACTTTGAAAGAAGATAGTTTTTTATAAACATTATAAAGGAGTTAAAGTAATTTTAAGAGGACAAAACTTAGTTAAACAATTTACAGAGCATTATTTAGTACAGCTGTCACCTATGGGTTAAAAGAGAAAGGCAGAAGGAAACGGTAATGGCAACATTACTGAAGGGGTAACAGTCCCATCTTCCACTCTCCAGCCTTGAAATTTGGTTCCATCAGAGATTAAGATGCGGACTTGACTGCATATGCTGCATAGATTTTACAGTCATTCATGACCCATGTAATGCAATGGCAAACATACTCTGAGTTTGAAGTGGTAGCTGAGAATTAGGTTTCGTTTTTCAACAAATGAGCAGGAGTGTATGTTTGTGCTTCTTTAGAGAAATAGCTTGAAAACATGCACCCCTAGGAATGTCACAGAAAAAACAGGCAAGGTTCAGGGATCATAAGGGACAAATGTGCAAAACTTGCATAGTTTCAGTAATAAAGGTAGTAAGTGGTAGACCTCTGAGAATCTATTACAAAATTTCTACCTACATTTGTGTTGTTTGAATAAATTCATTTAGGACCAAATTTTTCCATGCAGCTTAAGAACATGTAAAAATGGGGAACCACATAATTTCAGAGGCAGTTAATTAAAGAACTGTTTCTCTTTCCCCTTCCATTCTAAGTGAAGCAGGTGAGATAATATCCTCCAAAAGCCAGCCCCTTTCACTATTCCCTAAACTGACATCTATGTCCAGGCATTGGTCATTTCTTCTACAATCTTCTACTATGAAGCTTTCCCAGACAGAGTTTAATCTTTTAAGTCATCTCTCATGACCTTCCTTTACATTTTTCCATCCTCTTTCACCCTAACACTTCTCTCAATCACTTTCCCCCTCTTTTGTTAATGTTTTACCTTTTATTCACTTGCTTTCATTGCAATTTTATGATCTTCTAGACCTCATGTTAACCAATTCACTAGATTTTTATTCATCTGATCTTCTGACCAGTTTCCTGTCAATGTTTTGGGTTTTTTTTCTCCTCATCTTCTTTACAGTGAATACTCCTTGGATAGGGGCTATGTCTTTACTAAGGATTACAAATACTGCTCATATGCACAGATATAAATTATTTTTGTAGTAGCCTCTGTGATCAGAAACCACCTTTTCTTGTCTGCATGTCTTCATTTTGTTTTCTCATAGAGTACCAAACAAGTCCCATTCATATAAGGATTAACTGCCTTCAATTTCCCTTCCTCTTTCTCCTACTCCCTCATTTTTAAAAAAAAAAATATTTTATTTAATGAAGTCATTTTCTTGCCTAGAGCTTGGCAAAAATATCTTCTGAAAGCAGGTCCATATTACATTTGTGCTGCTGTATAATGAAAAGAAACTTAACAAATTAAACCTCTGTTTTGGTAAAAGAACTGACATGCAGGATTGAAAATTCACATATCAGTTTCGGCACAAGCAATTCAACGCAACCAAGATATGAAAACCTGTTGGAGAAGTGATGATAAAAAAGTGAAGCCTCAGGTATCACCATCTAGTCAGCCCACCATGCTTACAGTTGAAAATGACCTGGTTCAACTCAGTGTACTGAATGTGAGAGAGAGGATGGTTCTGGCTCCTCACATTCCTCCTCTTTTAAACTGAATAACTCAGAATAGTGTTTTGAAACCCTTTGATAGGGTGCTGCTTTATTTTACAAAGTGCCTTGGCACTCCTTCAGTTATATTGCTTTGACAGATGTAGACAAATTGCTGAAAAGCACATCATCCTCAACCTAATACTAGAAAACATTAGAATTTACTTTGCATTTCGTGGCAAGATTTTGATGTCTTTGCTTATAATGAATTCTTATATTGCCCTGAAATTGACTCTCTTGGTTTGATGGGTTTACTTCCCTTCTGCCTTAGTGACAGTTAAAGGTCACCTGCACTCAATATGTATCTATCAGTAGGGACTGAGGACCTATGTAGCTCTCTAAGTACGTGCTTAACATTTGCAGAACCAGGGGCAAACCATGAAAAAAAGAAAAAAAAGAAGAAGAAAAAAATCTAATATATTAATCCATAAGGAAACAGATTCACGCTAATCCGATAAAATGAATAAATATAAGTAAAAAGTATTAAGAAAATTATTTCCTACCCTTTCTTTTTCTCCCCTTTCACACAGTTAATTTCCCTTTTCACCATCTTTTTCCATAGGTTTCTTTGTTTTCCCCTTCCATCTTCCACACAAATCCTATGGCTAATTGGTTAAGTCTGCTCTAGACTCTAACCATCAATTCCCAGACACAGCATCTTTCATTTCAATGTTTTTGGCTGATTATAGTTGCACTTAGAGGAAAACAAATAAGTATGTATCAACATACTGCAAGTGCTACATCTGCGTACGAAAATACACAAACAGATAATTAAACATCAACAAAATATCAATAGGATTAGAGTGTCATGTTGGAACAAATCTTGATAAATCCTCCTTCAATAACAATACTCTAACTACAGCGTCATAAGGGGAATATAAATTTAGCCCATTAAAGTGTTGTTGGACAAAGAAAGACACATTAATACATCTGTTAGTCATTTTCTTACTACTAAGGGACTCTACTATTGTGCTGCAGATGAAAGCTTTGGCCAAGAAGAGATTTGAAAATATGCAAATTAATGCTAACAACATAATAAATATCTTATTATTCATCAACAACTCAAAGGCACACTGGCATAGTTTAAGCTGTGAGCAATCAATGTTCATCGATGTTTAGACATACATACCTACAATGGACATTTCTGGAACCGTGGCATGATATGGACCATCAACAAACTCTGGGGCATTGTCATTGATGTCTTGAACCTTAATAATGAATTCTGAAGGAGGCTCCAGAGGTTGGTTTGTGTCCCTGTCAACTGCTTGAGCTGTTAGAGTGTATTCAGCTTTTTCCTCACGGTCAAGCCTTTTCATTGCATGAATGTCTCCAGTCTTGTCATTGATCACAAAGATTGTTCCAGCTCCATCTCCTGACAGAATATACTTGATTTTGCTGCTGCCAGGATCCAGGTCTGTGTGTAACTAGAAGCAAAAAAAAAAAAAAAGCATTTTAGAAACAAAAATTACACTCAGAATATTTTTTTCATTGGTCTAACCATACATTTTGTCAAGCAATTCTTTTGTACTTTAATCTTAGCACCAGTGATCCATATCTCAGCTTGAATACACAAGGAGAACAGGGATTTGTATGCATACTAATCAAAAGTGAACGTAATCATAGGCATAATTAGACTTTCTATTTAAAAAGCAGCTGTTATATATATTTTAATTCCCTGTTCTAAAATGTAAATGTCTTCAGAACTATTATCAGCCAAAACGAACAAGCACAAAATGTCCTTAACCTATTAGATCAAAGGGCGAATGAAGGATTAACAGTATTATGTATCTTAATCTAGTTTCTTATTTTTAGTTATTACTTTCAGTTTATTTTCAGGTGACTGAAAATAACTGGACATTGGCATCTATGTAAATGTTGTAACAGACAGCATTCACAGAAATTTAGAACGGTATCATAAGTCAGCTGCTAGCAGAACTTAAAAGGTTCCAAGTTCTTTATTCTAAAAGTGTTTACCCTGAAAGAAAGCTTTGTTAAAGCAAGTTTCCAGAAAGATAAGAACACTTACACATATCTTCCCATTCTCCTCAATGCCTCATTAGAAAAAATAATATTTAGACTGTACTTGATAGAATTATAATCATCTGAAACTGTATGGGAAAAATAGGTTTCCGGTTTCCGTTTTTTTGGGTTTGGTTTTTTTTTTTTTTTTGCTAATTAAAAGCCTGAAGAACATTGGAGACAAACAGAGGACCTCCACTGATTTTTTTTGTAGGCTCAGAGCCAAGGACTAAGTATCAGATTATCTCCAATAATTTTTCATTTGCGAGGGCAAGGACACCAATTGGTGGACCATATGTATTATAGTCAAAACATTCAAAAATACAGGATAACAACTTAAATATACAGAACAGCACCTTAAATTCTATGTAATATTAAATTTAACATGCTCAATATGAACAATAAGAAGAAATTAACAACACATCACTAAAAAATGTAACTTAAATTTATTATTGCTTATCTCTATCTCTGAAAAGAGAGCCTGAAAGAAATACAAACGACCTGTATGGGAAAGCTGCATACATGACTTACAGCAACTACTACTAGACTGCTCCTGTTTGCTCATTTTTGTGCAGACAGCTGAACAGAAATTGTCGCTGGTTATGCATTTTACTCTTCAGTTGATAGCAGTGGTTGCTAGGGCTAGGCAGCATCATTACTTGATATAAGAATCTGTATTGGGATATTAAAATAGGTGTGGAAAGAAACTGTAATACTTGGCTACAACCAAGCCACCAGTAGATTTTTATGTCATACCACAAGTAGGCTCTGCAGGTTCTTCAGTAGATAATTGGTCACATACAGTTATATCTGCAAATTAGCATTTCAGGGACAAGAGCTTAGAAAACTTGTTAACAGCACCTTACAAAAAAAGCACAGAGGACAACGGCAGTAAGGTATGATTTTCCAGCTGATCTGGTTTATTATACAGACAAAATCCTGGGCTACCAATTCATTCTCTGCAACAACAGCAGAACTCTCACTGACTACAAGATGTGTAACTTCATCCTGTGTTTTGCTGGGCAACACATTATTACCACTCCAGCTATTACCACACCATTGTTTTAACAACTTTTTAAAAACGCTTTAACTGTTTGTGAATACGAACGGCTCAATACAGTTCACTCTTCCTACCCAGCCCAAATGAACATACACATAGACATCAAGTGACAGCTGAGTCCTTTTTCCAAAACCTCAACCTTTCTTTTTGTAGTTGTCATCAGCTTTTACTTGAAAACATCAGCGTAATTTACGTTATGTTAATTTAAGTTAACAGCACCCTCCTGTTGGTCGGTACTGCAGTTTTGTCTGCTCACTAAGATACGGTAATACACTTTTTTTTTTTGTCTTAAAGATTATTTTCCTTATAAGCAGGATTATACTCAATCTAGGCATCAGAACATAAATAATTATTTTCAGGGTCCCAAAGCCTGTCAAGATCAATCCAGAATCTGTTTGTGTTTTAACAGATTGTTTATACTTTAAGCATCTGTTTGATCCCTGAATAAGATCTACATGTTATTAACATTGCATATGAAGGTTTTGGCAGAATATTCATAGCTGAATTACAGTGATGTCATATCACAACATTGTCTGGACACACACAACTCAGCAAAGTAATTTGGAATACCTCCATTCACCCAGCTGCACAGAGCCTCACAGAGAAAAAGTATAATCTGAATTTCTAAGGCAGCACTGGCTGATAACCCACAGAGATACTTGAGAATGCTCAAAGATTCCCCAATTTGCTAATAAGTAGGAGAGACTGTCAGTATAATCTCCAGTGTAAGTTCTACCCGTATTATCCAACAGAAGTTATAGCTCATAAATCACTTCTGGTATAAATTGATGTAAAGCTATAAAACCAACAGGAAAAATGAAAAAAAGTCTATAGTTACTATTAATTGTTTCTTCTAGTAAGTTAAAAGTCCTTTGTATCAAAAGAAAGAAATAGATATTGCTATTTGAAACACTACAAAATGAAGGGCTAAACATTAAACAAAAAGTGGAGGAGCTAGAAGTTGAAAGTGACTCTGATTAGTGGAAGATGAGTTTTTCACCCAAAGATTAATAGTGGCAAAAATAAAAGCAATTTTTTTTTTTAGTTCTTTAATAAAAAACAAGCCATAAATATGGTATTTACTGAAATACTATGTACTTTCAAAGGTAAGAATCCAGGCTGACAGATTAAAATATCTTTTATAGGTTTTGGATTTAGGATTAAAACATCATCATTTACTTACAAAGTTAAATCACAGAACTGAAGTGAAATTGTAAGTCAGAAAGCGTAGTGTTTTTTCCCAAGTAATATTTCCTCTCTTCTACGAGAGGTGAACGATAATTTACAGCAATTGACAAGCCTCAGCAAGCTGTGTTCATGGGAAGGTTAAAGGTCATTAAACACATAATTATATAGGGTCTACATGAATTATAGAGAGGCATAAACACTATGATAAATTAATATCAGCTTTGGCTGAAAAAGCCTCACAAATGTAAATGTGAAGCTGCTTTCCATACCTGTAAGTTTATTTGTTGCACCTGTGCTTGAAAACTGACCTCTTATTTTTCAGAGCAATATTGAGAAATGTAGCAAGAATTTTTGTTTAAAAAAGGAGAGACATATGTCCCACTACTAGACAGCATCCCAAAACAAACGGAAAAGCATGTTTACCAGAAACCTTAATCACGTTCAGAGTGAGTCAAACTCACTTCCTTTATGTGAGATTCAGTTAATGAGACTTCAAAGGAAGCGAAATCTTCTTCCTCCATCACTGCCCTGACTGTGGGACTATAAATTCAAATATCTCTCTCCCTTAAAGTAGCAGATGCAACCCCATCACCCAGTTTGTGCCTGGATTTATGGCAACAGGAGAGGTTTTGGATACTCTCCTAGTTTTAATGGTGACGCAGATGCCCTGTATTAATGCCCTACTAATGGCTCCCATGTAGCCTCAGCACGGATCTGTTCCTAAAAAATGAACTTCATTCAAAATGAACCCTCTGATCACTGCAGTTTCCAATCATTATTAACTCCTTTGGTATTCTACGTTATAACACAGATGATAATCAATGAAGCCAGTATTAACAGTAACAGCACACACAGTATATTTCTGGAAAACTAACATTATTTTCACTATTAATGAATATCTAAAAGTACTACCAACCCACTATTCAAATATATAACATGTATTTATAGTCTCCCACATGCATACATTACAAACATGCATAATTACACTCAGTGCAAGAGAATGCAGAGATGAAACCTATTCAGAGTCTCTACATTCTGTAGATGTAAAAGTACTACTCTGCAGCAAAACCCAAATATGTGAGCATGTTAACAATACTAAATTCTCCTATTCAGTAGATATTTGTTCATCATATTTTTAACCATATTTTCTTAACAAACACTTGGTTCAAAACTACGTATAGAGCTAAGGACTTAATGTATGAAGGAAGGCTGCAGAAGCTCCAGGCTAGGTTTGTGAAGCTCTTTTGCAATTCTGAGTACAAAGAGAAATTTGAGTCTCTTCTGCAGATGGAAACTGTCTCACCTGCTCTCAGTCAGTTACCTGGCAAATCAATGGTAGTCAAAACAACAGCTTGCTCAGCACAATGAATTTCGTGTTCAAGCCATGTGTTCACCATCAGGAAAGTACATAATGCACTTGGGTCTGGTCCATACTCAGAATTAGCAGAAAGCTGTTGACTGGCCTTTGTACTAGGATTGGGCACTTCAAGCCCTCTCCAGGTGTATTGTTGATGCACAACATGATACAGACTAGCTCGTAATGAGATGCACCATCAAAGGGAGGATTTGTAACCCCAGTTTCCTCATATTAGTAAAAAAGCATAAATATATCAATAATTCACAAGAGGAGGGAAACCTACATATTATGAAAATGCTCCTGGACATTTTTAATTAAGAAAAGAGAAGGCAGCATTATGTAGATAAGTTTTCGCTTGAATTTGTTAGAAAGCAATTAATTCATCCTTGTGTAATTACAAGGGAATTACCCCTTACTTGTTTCGAGGGAAAAGGCATAATCTGCCCTTAAAACTTCATGTTCAAATTTGCATCATTTTTCTCCTTCCTAACTCAAGAATCTTTTTCAAGGGATTAACTACTGCATCACTGAGTTTCACCTGATACTACACAGATACTCACAAAACACACCAGCACTGTCCTAATGCTTCAGGTTCTCCTACTTTTTACCTATGCCTCGCAATAAAATCCGTCATTTATGAAGCAGACCCCATTTAATGAATTTAGAGACAACATTTTCAGCTTTTAGGACTCTTTTCCAAAACTGCTGAGTTCTAAGAAGCTCTAGCTCACTCTGTAAAAGTATGGAACATTTTTAGTGACTTTTACAATAATTTTTATACATCAAAGCTTTCAAAAACT